TTTTATTCATTACATTTGCTGCGACATATTTTTTTTTTTTCTGTAGCTTGTTTTAAATTTATATGAAAAATATTTTTACTGATATGTGTATCCCAAAATTCCAAAATTGCATAAATACATGTACTCAGTAGGTAATAGAATTAATTGCCATCAGTACGCATTTTAACCATACATCTATGGGAATAGAACACCTCCAGGGTACACTTGCCAATGTCTGAGTCAACGTCAGAATATTGTACATCTATTCAAGAAGCCATCTGTCTATTTAAAACCTATGTAATGTATATACCACCAATCAGCTGTCAAAAGTTATGTAAATACCGAAATTATGGCAAAGTGGCAGGAAATGTCATCACGTTCCGAGCACACTTCTTATTTCCCGGCTCTGAAAACATCACCCCTCGCCCCAAACCAGCCCCCCACGATCTCTCTTTCAGAATAGCGTCGATTATCGTAAGGTCTCCGTAAGTCAAAAAAGTCCGGCTTTCGAAATGGATGACAAGTCTTGCCTTTCGGAATATATTGCGACATGGAGAGCGGAAGTAGAACCAACGTCCGGTCACGTGGTTGCACAAAGAAGTGACGTAATCGCCGTACAAGATCTTTGCGCCTTCAGGGAGAAGTCCGTTGAATGTACCACTTGCCTTGACATCTTTATTAACCGAAACTATCCAGCCTGAAGTCGAGGAATATATATGACATTTAGCTACAATACGGTTGACCTGTACGTTGCTACCTTTAATTATTTCAGGGTTGTTCATTTCGCATCATCAACACTAGTGCATATCTACAAACACTAGTACATATCTGCTAGACTCTATGCATATTATCTAAAATAATACACCGCTCAGTATTTGAACAAAAATATAATTATCAGACAATGTGCATCATTCAAGTTTCTTAATAATACATGTATATTTGCATTGCAAAAGAAAGAGAAAATAATAAATCAATACAAATGTGAACATCCCATCTTATAGAGGCACATAGTTAAAGCAAAGTTTATGTTATACATGTAATATGAACTTATCAGAACCCTACATGTAGGTTTATTTTCTTTTCATCTTTTCTTTTTGAGAGGTGTTCAAATATCGGATTCATTCAATACGTCTACATAAATGTACCGTGTAATTAAAGGGATAGTTTTGGTCAAACAATTTATTCTCCTGGAGTAAACAACAATTTTCCATTTACCAATGATTAATGAATCAATTTCAACATTCAAAGTTAGTCCCTGTTCTTTTTTTTTTTCTAAAATTTTGGTTTTTGGAAAATGATCTCTTAACAGACTATAGCCATCTATGGAGGTCACGTGGTCCGATGACAAGCTCAGATATCAGAATAATAGCTATAACTGCCGTTTTTGTAGTAAAACAGAATATATTATATTCGTAGAGTTGTTTACAATATTTTTATTGTGAAATATAGATCTCATACGAAGAGTTATTATCCCTTTAATTCATGTTGAATCGTGCAGCTCATGCAGGAAATAATGCTGGGTTTGTGCACAGACTCTCGCTTACCTGACTCGGACACTGGGGTATTGAATAACTGCACTTTATCTCCTTTACTGGCTGACACAAGCCTATACCTGGCGGCGGGGTCCAGGATGAAGGTACTGAATGTAAAGGCCCCGTCTTTACTAGTCACTGCCTTGGTGCCATCTATGTACGCTTCGTCTGGTATCCCGGTGAAATCGATGCCGTATTTGTTCTTAAGAGATAAATTTATGTGTGGAAATTAATATTGTAAAACTTAAATTGTCTCTTAATAAGAGATACATTTTGCATATAAATCAAAAAAGTTGTATTATAAATAAACATGAATTATCATGACAATCACAATGCAAATGTGTATTGCCCTTTTCAATTGAGAGAGAGAGAGAGAGAGAGAGAGAGAGAGAACGAGATCTGACGTAGTCTCACCTTTAACCACGCAGTGGCTCTCTTCCCCTCGGCAATGGCGTCCGTCTCAGAGCGACCAGCCAATCTCTGATGAGCCAGAATGTCACTGCGCGTTCCTTGGACGTTACTCAGGTCAACCGTTCCATCGATGACGAGAGTCAGGACATAGTTGTAACAAGGCGTCTCTGGTTTCTGACACGTGGACGGGGGTCTGCGCCAGGGAACATACTTGTAGAAGTACATGTATGGTCTTGGATAATATGTTCCAGTGGCGTCCACGCCGGGACTGATCATGGAGGCCACCAAGATGAAGACCAATGCGGAGAGGAATTTCCTATAGGAAAGATTGGAGCAGGCAATTAGGCTATATTGTGTTAATAGACACACACACACACACACACACACACACACACACACAGAGAGAGAGAGAGAAAGAGAGAGATCTAAACCAAAGGTTAACAAACTATTAATTACGAACACGCAAAACGGCTGCAACCACTCACCTGACTGAAATCTCCATGATATAAAGTTATACTGATAGTTGTCTAAGCACAACTCGTTATATAATATAGAGCCCTAGGCGCAGACGGTAAAAGTATATATGTATATGCAGACTCGGGAAATGAAAATAATGGACTCTCAAGTAACATTAGAGTTCGCTGAGTGAACACATTTGTTCTAAATGTATCATTTATTAAAAAAGACACGCGTTCTTATCATAGAATGACAAGTTTTTATTCAAAGGCTTTTCTAATATCTCTTTAAAGTAGGGAAATGTCTTCTTATCACCCAAAATTGTGATATTGTATTTACACATTTTCTGCACATCCAATTTAACCATTCTACGCCATGTTGTTTAGAATATCCCTTTATATGTAAATATTTCATCAATGATCTGTTCTAAACAGTGAGAAAATGATTACAAACTAAAGCGATAAATTTACGTAAAACTGTTTGTTCAGCTTTTAGGTAACAGAGAGAAAGTTGTTTACAATATATAGAAAAATACTATTTTTGTCTTACTAGAGAGAAACAAAGAGCTGTATGAAGCTCTTTGTTTTTTAGATTGAGTCTCTAACTTACATATTTCCCTGTCAAATATATTTCCAACATCATGAAGACAATGAAAAATGATTAAAAAAAATAATGATTCTAAAATTTCATTTTAACTATATTTCAAAATCTGTCTTTGTGGGATATACTACATGCATAATTCAAGACACTCAATTTTAGCCCGTTTCACAGGCGAAACAATGCCATATGGTAAGGATTGCATGGATATTTCAATATGTGGTCAAGGTATGATACAAAAAGACATTAAAAATGTATTATGAAAATAACAGACATTTATCAAATGATCAAAACACTTATTGATAGAGTTACATGTTTAGAGTCTGACATGCTTTGACAATTTTGTAATCATTACACAAGAGACAGTATAAAGCATTATTTGTTTTTCGAGCTTAATTATGTCAGCTAGCTAGCTAACTGCAGTCGTCAGGAAAACACACTTTCATAGAGAGGGTTTTTGTTTGAAGAAAAACGCACATCACCATAATGTCTTCTTTGTATTTAAACTTTCTAAAGGTGAAGCAACTGAAAAAAATAATAATAACCAGTCTTCAAGCCGGTTTTAAAGCAATAAGAAATTCTAAATGATTCAGGAAACCGTTCTGCACGCCTCCTACATGTTCGTGTCTATAAATTCTGTTTACAGTAATGTTATTTTATACTACTGCAGACACGGGGAAAGGGGGTCAGGTGGGGGGCTGATCTCCCCTTCGCCTTCTGAAGAAAAAAATCACTAATATTCCCCTCTTGAAATTAGAATTTTAACTGGCTGATTTATAGTTCTTAACCATTCCAAATGGCACCATTTGACCTTCAAAACACAAAAATATTTACGGGGCCCTTCGGCGCGGCAAAATCCCCACCACAAGGGGGCCAAGGGTCGGCTTCGAATCCAAGGCCTGTCATTAAAAAAAAAAAAAACACTGACCCCGCCTTCAAATCCCGGACCTGCCCCTGTGTTACCATCTGTTTATCACGTTTAGCAGACAAAAATTGTATCTTCTTTGTAGGATTAATTGACAGATATGCTTTTTCAAAATTTGCATCGTGTTACGTGCAATGTTGCATTATAGCTTTTACACGTTTTAAAATGATTCCCTCTTCTTATGAGGCTTGCATAAACCAAAACTGTCCCCACCTTTGTCTTCCTTTCTCTTCACATTTAACGTTCTTAAAATGATGCTTAGGTGGGAGTGGTTATTGTTCTCTACTCTTTACCAGCTAAGCCACAGGTCGAACTTGGAGTCAATAGCTAACCCGCAAAGGCGGCATGCATGTTATACTGTCCTTTCAACAAATAATTCTCAGCAACATGTGTTTTGTTGTTTTTTTTAAAGTCACGTCGCTCTTATTGCTTTTCCTAAACAATTAGTTTTTTTCATGCCCACCCCCTTGGGTCCCTGCTTATCATATACAGGGTAGACATATATTGTAGTACCTGGGAATACTTCACAATTGGCCGAGGGTGGGATTCTTATCCGAGGCTTGTCATTCCTAAAAAAATAGTAGCCCCATTCATATAATCCTGGATCCATCCCTGGAGAGACTCTCAATTTTGTTTGTCTATTAGATAAGATTGTCACCTAAACGGCTGACTTTTGGTTGCCTTGATGCCTGTGAAAGGGAGCAACCCCTTATTGTGTACAGCCTATGGTGCAAGCAGCGGGTGGTCACGTCTCTGTTTTAGGGAGCATTTCATGCCGGTACCCAGAACCAGTTGGTTTTTCTAGGAGGCAACCTCAACCAGGATTCCTACAGAGATATTTTACAGCAAATAATGCTTCGATTTGTAAGAGACATCTTCAGGAACAACTTTGTACCAGGACGACTGAAAAACCCCACATCGAGCTCGCAGAATCACTGTTTTTCTTCAAAACCAATGGGTTCAGAAACTGCCCTGGCCTGCAAACTCCCTAGATATAAACCCGATTAAAATCTGTGGGCTGAAGTAACTCACAGAATCAATAGCTATGGTCATCGGCCGGTAAATAGTGATGAACCACGACAGGCATATATCACTGCATGGAATGATATCCCCATCCAAACTCTAAAAAAACTTGTCACAGGGCATGCCATGTACACACACTGGACAATAGAAGTGTCACCCACTAACTCAGAGTAATAAAAGTAAGCAGATCTTGGGTAGTGATAATGCCTGGTCTACTTATAATGTGATTAATGAGTATAAAACCGCCGTACCATGGAATTGTATTGTTGGTCTTGTACATGTACAACAAATGTTATTCCTGTCTTCCTCCAATATGGCAAAATACAGGCAATTATCTAACGGTTATAGGTGCAAGTTATTAACCTGAAGAGGCGGAATATAAGCAATGTCAGAATATCGATACAATTGAATTGTTCAGTCAGAACCGTGCAGAGGGTCTGGTCTCGGTATAGAAACGCTGGATCAAGAGACAATTTGCCTCTGATGGGTCGTCCAAGAAAAACTACTGGCCGTGAAGACCGACGACTGATTTTGATGTCCAGGTTGTCAAAGTTCGACACTGCTTGTCAGTTGACAACACAGTCGAACAATTTCACACATAAGAATGTGTCTGTAAAAATTTCTAGGCGTCGGTTACATGCTCATAGAGTGTACAGCAGGGTAGCAAGGCTGAAACCTCTTATATCGTTACAAAACAGACAACGTAGAGTAAACTAGGGTCAACAGGATCTGGAACCGGAGAGTCCATGACAATTGGTCCTTTATATTTTTTTCTGATGAGTGTCGCTTTGATCTGACCTCTGATGACAGACGGGTACGATGCTGGCGAACTGCTGGTAAAGCATTTAAACCACATGCACTGAATTTTCGAACCCGGAGCAGCATATTCATCATGGTGTGGGGCTGCATCAGCATCCATGGCGTGGGCAAATTGGTAGTGGTTGATGGAAACATGAATCACTAGAAATATATCGATGTTTTGGAGTCAGTCTTGCTACCATATATTACTAACATGTTTGGTAACAGGAATTATCAATTTGTTCACCAGGATGACAATGCTCCTTGTCACAGGCCCAGAGCAGTTGATGATTGGTTTGACCAACAGAAAATTCGCAGGGTTGTGGCCTGCCCAGAGTCCGGATGCAAACATAATAGAAAATGTGTGGAATGATATGTCAAAACTTTTGACAAATGCCCGTCTAATCAGCAGAGAAACTCTGTTATATTCAGTGTTTCATGCTTGGGCCTGCATAAGCCCTGAACGCATCAGTCAATTATATGAATCCTTGCCTCGTAGACTGTCACCTATTATTAGGTCACGTGGCTATGCCACTAAGTACCAATTTTGGACTTGAAACTGCATATTTTGGTAGAATGTATATTTTGTTCTCATTTTGTGATTTTTTGTGAAATTTGATGTAAATAAAATGATACCAGGAGCATATCATTCCACAGTCATTTATCTTCCCCGTAGTATTGGTTCAGTAGGGGTGACACTTCTATTGTCCAGTGTGTGTAGGATGAGGGCGCTGAAAGCGTCCGCTTGAGGTCATACCTGCTGTTGGTGAATTTTCATGATTTACTGAAATGAGCTTTTTGACTGTGTAACTTATCACTGTCCGGAGGCTATCGTTTTCTTTAACATCTTAGCTTAAAGTTAATAATGACATCAAACTGTTGATATGGTTTTCTGGGGTGTTCTTTTCTCTTGAATGACATCTTATGTCAAATTTGATATTATTGACCAACATATCTCACAATAGAAGACTGGATATTTTTATCACACATTGACACACTTTTTTGAGGAATCAAGCCAAAAAAATTTAATCTGCACTCAAAAATAACAATGATAAAAATATTTCATATTAAGTAGCAACCCTGTAATTGGCCATACAACAATAAGTTGATATTTGAGAGTTAAGAAGGTATTTTATTCAATACATTTACTGTGACATTTCTTTCTGTTTCTTTATATAAATATATGTCAAAGGCCCGGATCAAATCTAGTCCCATGCATAAAAAGCCCAGACCCCATGTTTATTACGCCCTGGCTGGGCCCATTCTTTATGGTGTCTTTGCATTGTTAACAGCATAATATGGGCAAGTTAAATGACCAAGTTAATTGGCCAAGCTGCCGGTTTGTTTGTATGGCATGTGCAGGGGATGTCTTAAATCAAGGTACACATTATGATACTTACAGGTGTGGCAAATACTTGTATTTCATTACCTGTGATTTGTAAAATACATCTGAGGATGATACTTTTAAAGATGTTTAATGTTTAAAGAAAAGACATGTAGATTGATTTAGTAACATTTACTAAAGATATGTTAAATTAAAGATGGGCTTCATTTGTGCCTTGATCTAAGACATCCCCTGCACATGCCATACAAACAAACTGGCAGCTTGGCCAATTAACTTGGTCAATTAACTTGGTCACCTAACTTGCCCCTTATGCTGTTAACAATGCAAAGACACCATAAAGAATGGGCCCAGCTAGGGCGTAATAAACATGGGGTCTGGACTTTTTATGCATGGGACTAGATTTGATCCGGGCCTTTGACATATATAAGAAAAAT